TCGACTCGAGTCCCCCATCTCTGGGGTGAAGATATTAATACTTGCCTTTAGAAGGTTTAGAAGTTTTTTGGGGGTCACAGGCTGGAGCCCCAGCAAGGTAGCAGCACAGCCTGTGTCACACTGAGGAAGCTGGGGGTCTACATTGTCTCCTTTTTCAGAAACTAGATAAGGAGATTGAGAAAATTGCTGCAAATTTACATTGGTATTAAACGTTTCTGGTAACAAAATCCTCGTCTATAAAGGGGCTTGATAGTGATTTATTTAAAGCAACTTACGCTTTACACCAGTAGTCTCCTTTGGCACGTCTCCTTTCTGAGCCCCTCTTCCACCACTGTGCACCCAGAGCTGCAGCTGCAGCAGGCAGCGTCTGACGTCACCTCCAGACAGTCTGAGGAGGCTGCTAATGTCGTCCAACTCCAGTCGCACATTCTCAGCCAAAGCCACTAGCTGCAGGTAACTACAGACATTCACCTTGGAAACAGATGCAGTACGTTTGTGGGTCATTCTTGGTCACATTTGCTCTGCATGTGTGAGACGCTTTTAATAGTTCACCAAGGAGCCAGCGTACAATAAAAGTGTGACCTACCTCAGAAAACATGCATGCATTTTACACTGAAGTTAAACGAGTGTAGTGATAAAAACTTACCGATGATGGGGTTTTGAAAATAATTTCCTCTAAGGTGCAGTTGAATCTCTCTCTGAATGATGAATCTAAGGAAGACATTTATTTTGCATTACAGCTTGCCCTCTCTAGTCTATTCTATTCAAAATTACAGTGTGTGCGTTTACCATTGGTGGTCAGAATGACCGGTCTTTTAGTGGTTGCCATGAAAGTCTTGATGGCTGCGAGGAAACCAACATCATCATCAAATATGACATCAACCTGTGGGAGCAGACAGTTTGCAAATGGATCAACCCGGGACAAACAGGGGTTACGTGCGGTCTCATATCCATTAAATTATACGTCTCACAGCGTGGGGTTGCCAAATGGTTTACCTCTTCAAACAGAATGAGTGATGTGGCTGTCTTTTTATTTTGTGGCACTGTTTGATCAGAGGCTGGTGATGGGCTGCCCGATGTCTGGCCGTCTGGTTTTTCAGATGGCGACAGACCACCGAGGTGTAAGTGATCTGCTTTGGCCTTCATCTTAAAGTAGTTGGCCAAAGTGACTGTGGCGGGATTCGCTTTTCTTTTGCGACTGAAGCTGCCAACGTTCTGTGCTGCCCTCTTTTTTGAGGTAGAGGTGACATTTTTCAGAGTCACAGTCTTTCCTGTTAAAGAAAAGGGAACAAAGGTCTGTAAAATATGTTGGTACAACACTGAAGCCTCCATTACAGTCTACATGCATTTAATCACTACATAAACCTGACACCAGAAGTTTCTTTTTTACTTTTTCACTAAACTTTTTGTTGCAAGCTGTCTTAGTAAGTCAGTAAAAGATTTTGCATGATTTTTGTTTGGATGTCACTGGAGACCATGTATTCTTTATCTCCAGTATGTCCTACCAGATAAAGTCTCTTTATTGTTGTAGTTGTTGAAGTAAGTTGGTTTCAGTGGGTCCTTCCCAGACATCTCCACTAGGTGGGACTGGGTAGCCTCCTTCAGCTGGGACAGAACATGGCGGCCACTCCGCTGTGAGGAGCAGTTCACCTCAAACACCTTTGGTTGAAAAAGGAAAAGAAAAACTAAAGAATAATAACTGTGGTGTCTGGGTGACTATTTGCTGTGAGAGTAGTTTAAAATCCGGCAAAACTCATAATTTGGCCCCCAACATGTGCCAAGTAATCCATTCTGACAATGAATTTAAAATGTGCCCCTTTTGACTTTCGAATGTTTGATCTTATCTGAAAGCAAAGACAGTTACACTAAGGTGTCTACAAGGGACTACAGAGCTGTTTAAGAGCAGCTATATACACTTTATTAGCAGCACAGACGGAAATATAACTATCTGTGTAGAACAGAAATAAACATATATCCTCAAAGGCCACATCTTATGGAGAAAGGGAGGCGGTATAAGAGGAATATCTAACAAAACGATGGTCTCATCTCACAGAGTTCGGTCAGATTTGGGTACTGGTCTAACTTATAGCTGAAGCTCACAAAAGGAAGATAATTCACGATGTTCCCAGCGGGTAAACCAGATATCTGATACGTCTCACATGTTTGTATGAACCATGAAATGACTTACATACAGCCATAGCCCATAGTGCTATTCTAATACATGGATCATTTAGTCAAGTGGTTGGTGGTGTAGACACTGATGAGTGAATAATTTCAGACTGCATCTGCCTCTTCCTGCTGAATGAAAAAGGTTTTATGTTTATTAGCTTTTAATAACAGCGTCTAAACAATTATTTTTCATGTTCATTACTTATTTCTAGCTGGGCTATCTGACATTCGAGGTGAAGGTCATTGGAGGTGTTTGACACCTCAGATGTGAAGGGTGATGATTCCCTTTGTAAACTGGTTATCTGTGTTAGTTTATATGCTTCGGAGGTCTTTCAAGGGCATAATAATTCAGATTACATTTGATGTATGTGCTCATGTTCTTGTATCTACAGTTCTCACTGGTGAGCTACCATTTAGTTTTTCATACTGAAAGGAATCAATGTTCACTGGAAAAGAGCACTTCACATTTCTGGCATGGTCATATTTAATATGGATGCAGATTATCAGCCTTTGGGAACATGAAAATTCAAAGATGTTGATCCACGTTTGATTCCAACCTTGAAGCCAAGCTCCTGAGAGCAGGCATACACGGCGGCGGTCTTGCCCACACCTGGAGGCCCTGTAATCAGCATGGTGTTGCACAGCGGCTCCTTTCTGTCATCCTCTGCCCCAGCGTCACCCTGGAAGTCTCCACAGTCCCACGAGTCTGCACAAGAGGACAGTAATTACTTTTCCAACCAAAAGGTCTCACACATGGAAAATTCTGTTAAATCCTGAGTGATTAAAGTCATGTGGATACCCCAAAATAAGTAGGCAACGTGACAAATGTTTGGTCATGGCTCATTAGAAAACCGCATTTCGACCCTGAGTTGAGATATGAGAGCAAAAGTTTTGAGTGTGATAAATACCAGATCTTACCATTGCTGCTTTCTTCTTGATTCCTTTCCTCCAATTTTCTCCTCTCGTCACAGTCGGCTCTTAGTTTCCATTTCTTCAACCAACTTAATTCCAGAAAAAAAAAAAAAAACTGAAGTGATTTAAAGTCCTATATATCAGTAAACGAGCAAGAGAGCTCATCATATAACACTCACCTCTGCAGTTTATTCACAGAGGCAGAGTTGCCGATGACTTCACTTGAATGCTGAGGACTGTATTTGTCCGTCCAGAGAACATCCTCAAAGCCGGAATCTAGAAAAAAAATAAATAAAGGGAAAAAGTTAATTTCCTGCAATTTAAAGCATATTAAAAGAAACCCAATAAGGATATAAGAAGTGTACCTCTTTGGAGGATGTCAGAGTATTTGAGTGACTGGCTGTCAGACTGTGTGTGGTTTATCAGCGGCTCACAGTTGTTCACCAGGCCTGCTGGGCTCCCACTCTGCTGCCTCAGCCTGTGAGAGCGACTCAGCTTGTTGCCTCTGGGCTGCTTCCTGGCCACGGGGACAGCGCTATCCTGAACACCCAGTGCTGACACGCTACAGCGGTCCTCAACAACGGCACCCTCTGCACTGAGACTAGACCTGAGACGTTTGGGCGCCCTCTCAGAGGTTTCATCTCCGCACTTCCTCTTCTCTTTCAACTGCTTCTGTAGGGAGCTTTGAACTGGGGAGTCATCTGCTTTGGAAAAAGGAGGGAGAGAGGCATAACTGGTTACGGCAGGACACTTGGAAGACTGACACAATCACAACCGTCACCACACTTCATGAATGAGTATGTTAATGAAGTGACTGCACATTCAGGGGAATAACTCAATCTCACCAGTAGATCCAAAATCCTGCAGACTTGTTTTCTTCTGCAAAGTGCTGAACACTGCTCGCACTGGAAACGCAGGGTTGGATATTTGGATTTCTTCCAGACAGCTGTGCAGAGTTGAGAGTGGCAACTGTCCTCTACACCTGTTCCTCTGCTGACCTTTGACCGGCTGCACACCTTCACTCTGCACTGACCTCTGCAGCTTCTCTGCAGGCTGACCCGGCGTCCCCTCGCTGCCCCGCTGACTCCTGCTGAGCTGAGCTGAACGTAAGAAAACTGGTGCAATTTTAATGTCTTCTGCGCAAAACGTCTTCCTCTGTCCCCGAGCAGAAACACTTGAGCCGGGTGTGTCCTTTGCTGGTGATGCTTGCTGGTTGGAGGAGCGGGACTCTGCTGACTCCGCCGTTATCACCTCGGCGCTCCTCTGCGGGGCTTTGCTTGGGGACGAGGCATCTTTACTTCTCTTGCACCGTTTGAGTTTGTTTCGCATCGTTGAGGACTTCACATTTGAAGACTTTGCGGTGGCATGTTGGCGGTGGCGCTCGGCTGTCACGCATGATTCGGCAGTTAGCGTCAATTTGTGCGACGTAAGTTAACTTTAGGCAAAAACGTCAATGTTCGTTTACACCCACAAAGCTAGCTAACTTTGTATATTAGTTAAATTCATTAAAGTATATAACGTTATGTATAAAAAAGGAAATGTTACAAATAAAAACGCCTGAAACATTTGAACATTAACGGTTGCTGCTGCTGTTGCTGTGGAATGACGTTTAAAACACGCGCCAGGTGGTTCGGTAGCCAAAGATCGTCTGTGAACAGACACATCACACCGTCTCGTTTAGTTTAGCGAGGGAACCGGACTGATTCAGATGTGACAGAAGTCTTTGAAGCTACACATCACACACATTAACGTTGTTTTTGAATGGTGGTCGCATAGATTAACTCTACAAGTTATTGGGGGACATATTTTCCTCCAAAACCATAACTAACTCCAACACCCAGAATAAAGTCCAGAGTGGGAGCTCCTCTTGTTGATGTCTTTGTTGGTGGTTGCAGGTTTTTCTGGCATTACCAAAATAAAATAAGTTTGTTGCAATGTTTAAAATGTACTACACCGTGAGAGTACGCCAGTATGCGACTATCAGTGGCTGCAAAATAGATATGTAGGGTTTTACAGGCGCTATGACTGAATGTGAGGAGGAGTTGACCCGCCGCAAACATCAACGGGAGGTGTCAAATCCAGCTGCAGCCGCAACACGAAAGGGGTGAACGTGAAGGAAGTTGCCACCCTTAATAACATTAAGAATATTTTCAAATGGTTTTTGATCTGCTAATATAGTCCATGTCGCCCACTTGTAATTTCATTTACAAGTGGGCGTGGTCTGCCAGGCCCTACTGTACCTGCGGATGCCTTGTCTTTAGGGGCTTACTTATATGGTAGATTAATGGTCATCAGAAAACTTAAACATAAGTTCATGTAGATGTGTGCCAGTGCTTGCTTTTAGTGAAAGCTATAACATGCTGCCAGTGTTGAACAAATGGGAGACGCTCAGAAGCAGAAGAGCTTGATTATTAAGAAATGAAAGCAGATAACACAACTGAGGAAGACTAAGAGGCAGAAGACGGATCAGTGTGTGCAAAAGACTTCTTTCTGGAGCCGCTCGATGCAGCTGGGAAATTTGCAGTGTCTGCACTCTGCATGGCTCCAGCGAATAATGAGAAGAAGAAAAAGTACTGATCAAACTCCATTTAGCATGTAATCAATATTTAGTAACATCCTAATGATCCTGAAGGCTCATACGTTTTATTTACATTCTAAACCCTATTGTAAGAAACTTACAAGAACAAGAGAGTAATTGAATTTCAATGTCAACCATAAAGACCTACGTTACCTGCAGCTGACCATTTGAAGAAGAAACCGTTGTTTACTGGAAAAAAATAAAATACTTGCATGAATTGTTACACTGCGAAAACATTAGACATGAATAAGGTCAAATGTATTTTATTTCTTTAAATATAAAAATCCCCTTAGCCAGAGTGTATATTTTTTTTAACAGGGTGTTTTTGAAAATACCGGTGAATATGTCTCCCTTTTTCCAGATGGAGGAAAATATATTGTTAATTTGGTTGTCCACAAGGGAAGTCTGATGAAATAATGAATGGTGACCATCAATTTATGTGCACACTACAAAACAACTACTGCCGCTTTTTAAAAACTTGTCATGGAATGAATTAAAACAGAAGACTAGAAAAAATATACAGAACTAAAAGACTGATGAAAATATTCCCCTTTGGCATAAACTGCACCTAACAGGACAGACAACTGACTCAGACCTGAAAACCAAACCTCCAATAAACAGCATATTGCTCTGAGAGAACGACTGCAATCTGTTAATTATTGGATTCAGAATGGGGCACAGCTTAACATTTGATGTGATTACATGTATACACACTTCTGTCAGTCAGCTACGGATACTCAGAACCCATGTTTAAAAACAACATGTTTAACATTGTGATTCCAACATGTTCAAAAGTGAAAAGAGACTAGAGGTGCAAGCATCATCTGAAAACTGTTGACTTTTATATCTTGAATACTATGCACTCTACATGATACATGGGGTAATGCGCTGCTGGTTGTTGTTTCAATAAATCTTAGGAAAAAAAGAAAAATATTCAGAAAAGTTGAGTTCCCTGGCTTTCCTTGAGCTATCATCAATGCAGGCCAAAAGCCTTAGGGGTGATGAAGTAGGAGTTTTGAATTTATTCTCTACTCTGGGATCCAAGGCTTTACAGTATAACCCTATTGTCATGGCAACCTACCAGCAAAACCCACAGTCCATTGTGGGGTCCTAACACAAGCTTTACAGGCTTTATATACTCTAGACATTGATGTCAAGTATAGATTTTTTTTTTTTTTTTCCTTTTTTTACTGTCAATGTTCTTAACTGTATGACCCTTCAAATTAAACATCATTCACAACAGTGAAATCAAACCCACTAAAGTTTCTCCACTGGTGACAGTGGAAAAGCTGCATTTAACATTTGGTGCAGCGTGAATAAAAAAAAAACAAACAAAAACAAAAAAAAGACAATTTTAAGGTAAGCTTTCTAAGTACAAACACCAAGTGCTAAAATAATCAGCTAAAAGGATAAATTCTCAACAAGGTTATTGTGTATGTGTACAAATAATCAAGAGTGACAATGTTACCAGTACAGTTTTAACTGTACAGTTGTCTAGAACAAGGACATACCAAACACAGTCGGACCACGTCAGACTGTTTGTTCACACTGTCAGCACCCCCAAAGACAGATAACTTTAATGGCGCCTACAAAATGCATATTAAGTAGGTTCAACTTCACCCAGTCCTCAAATTCCTGGTTTGTGTAGCTGTGGGTGATTCACTTTTATATTGTTCATATTTGGTTCAATTCTCAAGTTCCAATAACTTGTTTACCTTGTATACTGGTCTGCTTCAGGTCAGATCCTCCGGTGACCAGTTCTCCCACCTATCTAAGCACCAAAGGGTTGGTAATGTTCATTGAAGAAAAAAACCCCAACAAAATAAAAATAAAAACAAAAACCCCACGACAATCATTGTTCGATCCATCCTACATCAGTCCGTTAGTGCGCTTTTTGTCCTCTTGCCCTGTTTCCCTCCAGTGGAGGTGATGGCGTTGCCGTTGCAGGCTCCCGCTGATACCAGAATCTGGTCTTGGTGCTCCTCCTCAGTGTCCGGCAGCTCCTCCTGGATCTGTCGCAGACGTGCCATGGCACGGTCAATGGTGGCCGTGCTCACCAGGTTGAAGTCGTGCATGCTGACTAGATGCAGGAGGAAGTTGCGGCAGAGGTTGCGCCGGATGATGTGAGCGCCGCGGCTCTCAGCGAAAAGCATGATGGCCTGATTCATCTGGTTGTCTGCTATGAAACTGCAGGTAAAAAACAGACCACAGAAGAGCTTAGTTTGTAGTGTTTCAAAAGAGAATATAGCACAACTACTGTGTATTTCGATTGATATACTGTACATATGAGCAAGTCACTTTGTAAGTTCCCTGGATTTGATTTCAATCTGTAGTGGCCGTCCTGTTTAAACACTTTATTACTCGATATAGTTCACCATTGCAACAAAATTCAGGACATTTTCCATATTTTTTGCACAACCATTATATTGCTTAAATGTCTGCTTCAGGAATACTGTACTAGTGTCGAGTAATGTCCACAACTTCCTGTAGTGCTGTTATATTGAACATACCCATACTTCATGACGTGTAGGTTCCATAGCTTCATCACTTCCTTCTCTCCCTCATTGACATCTGTGAATTCATCCAGTTGCTGCGAGCAAAAAAGACAAACAAAACAAAACGTACAAATTATGATACAATACATACAGTCATGTTAACCACTACCTCAGATTGATTATGGAGAAAAGATAAAACAACCATTGCGCCTCACAGTAGAACATATGTCAGTCATATTTCAAAATTTGAGTTTTGAAATGAAATTTGGTGATTCATCAATTCATTTTAGGCACTTCCTGTTTGCTCCGATAGTGAAATCAACAGCGATGAGACTACAGCGAGTAACGTTTGCAGGTTCAGGAAGTCAATACTGAAGTGATAAAAATATAACAGCAAGTTGAAGAAGTGTTTCATGTAGGCAATAGTTTTTACTCTGAGCACCTTTTAAGTTATTTATGGGGAGCGGGCCTGATCCAAACGCTTTGACTCTTTGTTGCCATGGTAATCCGAAACCAAAATCAGCACTCCAAAAGATTCATTTTTATGCCCCCCCGTCTTTAGATGTTCTCTGGACACCTCAGAGTAACTCGCACATTACCACTATTTATTGTCTGACTGTGCTAGTGTACTGGCCTCAAAGTTACACTTTTTTTGATTGACCCAATTAATGGGTTCTTGCTACCTGCGTTAGTAAATTGACTGCAGGTGTATTAAAAAGAGATAACGTGTCGTTGTCCATGTGAATCAATGATAATGACCAACTACACAAGATACTGAGAAGGCAACTGGCAGTGTGCTACAAGCCAATCTCAAGTCTGTATCTCTGCAAAGCATCATAATGCACGTTAAGTGTACATTGTGTTACAAGGTTCACTGCATTACTGATCCAATGCAACTGCCCAGATGGCTTTTTGCATATTGACAGGATGTAAAGTAGAGTTTGTCTTGTCCTCTTTGTACAGCACCATGAATTCCAATGTCAGGCATTGATTTAAGTCTGTGGTAATGACTATCGAGTCAGTCACTCAACAAAACTTGAACATTACGTAGCATTAAGTGAAGAAAGAGCTGCCGGGGAAAAAAAAAAGAAAGTCATCACAGCCAAGATGAGATTCTAGGTTTGCTTCAGTTGGTGGCAAGAACTTGAGAAATGTCCTCTTTAGTATCTCTCTGGACCTCCATGGGTGTCTCCATAAGTGGTGGGACATCTTAATTGAACAGTGAAACCAGACACCACACGACACAATGAGTAATGCCTTCTCACCGTGGCAGTCTTCTCTCTGAGCCACTCTGGATCTCTCTCGTCCTCACTGTCCAATTCCATTTCCTGGGGTCGCAGGGGCATGCAGCTGTCACTGTGGAAGTAGAGGCGGTTGTGTCCGCTGACATACGTCCTCTGCTGCTCCAACTCGCCGTCCTCAGTCTCCAGGAACTCCGACAGACTGGGTTTGATCCTCTTGGGCCTAACGGAAGGGGGAGAGAAAACAAATCCTGCATGTAGACTATGTACGCTCATTTGTTAGATGTTACATTATATTGATACTTAATATAATATACACTGATTGTTACCTCAATACTGGTCTATTTATGTTTTGTGTATATTCTTTTATACATCACATATTTTCAGTGCCTTATATGTAAACTCCATAAAATGAAATGACACCCAGCAGATCCTCTTTACCCATTTGTCCATCACAGCCTGCAAGTGTTGCACTGTGGCTTACCTTTACCACAGCTGGGCTGTACAGAACAGCATTCAGCTGCATATGAGAGTGAAAATTACAGTGCGCAAAGGTAAAACATTATTTGGGGGCACCGTGAGTGACTCGCAGACACCGAGGTTGGGAAACTCTTCGGATTTACTAACCTACTACGGAAGAAACTTCTCATTTTACCCGGAGCAAAGAATAGCTTTTACTTCTTAAAATGGCCCAAAAAAATTATAAAAATAAAAAGATGCTAGCACACCTTTATTAGAAGGTCTACATCTTGGATTTCCATGCCTTTACTTACTACCTATTTTCAAAAATCACATCTCAATCAGAAACCTAAACGGACTAAAAAAAAAAAAAAGCTAATCTATTTAGCTTCACCTTCTTGCAAAGTGCAAGAAAATCAGCTCATTGCTGATGAACAGCTTATTAAAAGTTAATTCAATTGATTACCAATTCAGCACAAAAACCACACTGAATGAAAAAAGCCAATCGAAGTGGTCATCTGAAACAAGTTAATCACATGCGTTGACTTTGAATGTGAACACCGCTTTTGTCACAAGTTTACCTGCAAACCAGTATGTGAGTTACAGCGGTCCTCTTGACTGGGCCATTGCGGCTGAAAGCAAAGCCGGGTTGGCTGTGGATGTCCTGAGGGTTGCCAACGTACGACCCATCATAGCACTCATTGATGGATACGTCTATCCTTGCTCCTTTTGGGTGAGGCTGCAGAGACAAAAACAAAAACAAAAAAAGACAATTTGTGAAATTCTACAGGAAATTGTTTCAGCAAACACACAGAAGGCCAGGTACTTATTCTGGTCAAGGGGAACCTGGCACTAACTGTCAAAGTGTGATTTCTCACACTTATTCAAACATGATGCTTCAGATAAGAGTGCCTGTGGGTAAAGAAAAACCTGGAGAACAAGAAACTAATTGGTTTCCATTTGTGGTTTGACAGATGATTTGCATGCAACTCTTTCAAACTCCCCAATTTTCTAGCAAATGTACCAAAAGTAAAAAGTTAGGTGCACAATCACTAATCACCAGTAGACTGTAGGTGGCCTGCAAACTGTGCATAAGTACAACGAGCGGAGGCAAGGAAATTTCGTTGTTACACATCTTAAATGTAACAAGCAACCTCAATTATCACAAGGTCCAGAGCAGATATGAATTTGTCCTCAATACAGCTGCACAGTGTGCACTTCAAAAAATGAAGGCTTAAGTTTATTATTACCAATAAAGACAAAAAACTACATTTATTCATCCTGCTAACAAGTACCGTCTTTATAGCCTGCACTGCTGCATTTTCCATTACCATCCTCTACCTATAGCCAGTGTTCTTTATTTCTCTCAGCTCACAATGCACTCAATCAATGCGGACCAAAGCTCCAGCACGGTATCTTTTGTTATTTTACAATTGTAGACTTCAAGATTTCTTGAAATCAGGTGGCGTCTCAAGAAAAACACACGACCAAGTCTATCTCACACACACAAAATTACAAACAAACCCACTCAGTTCCTTACCACATAGTTGAAAATGAAGCGGGAGTGGGAGAGCTTGAGGTGTTTAAGCAGGCTGTAGAGTTTGCTGCAGTTCAGGGTACACCAGGGACAGTGAAGATCATCTCTTGCCTCGGTTTGCTGCCGTGTGTTATTATTGTACAAGAACTGAACAAGGACAGATTGCATTAGTTACAAGGTAAACCATAGAAGGTCAAGCTAACGCAGATGTAAATGGGTGATTCTGACAGGGTTGCGTAACATCCGAGTTACCGTCACATTTTGGTACACAAACCCTAAGAGTGCTCAACAGGGTGAAAACTATCATAGTTTAATCTTTAATAAAGAAAAATGTGTCAAAATGTGACAGTAATTACAAACATTTTTAAAACAAAACAGACCACAAATACATTTTGCTTTACAACCACCTCACCAGAAGATTCTTGTAAATCAGTGTCCCAGGCCCAGTTGTATTTCTTACTGTTGTATGGTGTACCTGATAAAATATACGTAGCTTCTGCCGCGGCTCACACAGGACCTGCTCTTTCCTCGTCTGAATGTCTGTGCTGACTGACTCTTTCACTGCTGATGGGAACAGATGGAAAGGTTATTTCTTGGAGAATCACCAAATCAAGAATTTGACTTAATAAATTCAACATGTATTTGAGAAAATGTAGAAATTGCATTATTTTCTTAAAACATCAAGATTTGAAACGACAGCACATATGACTGTTGCTAAAGCCCCTTTCAGACAAGGAATATGTAACATTGCTGGCTTCATCTACCTTTTAAAATAATGTTTTTTTTGCCAATCAAACATAGGTCTCAGTTATGGAAATGTTCCATTATGGTTCTGTTAAAAACATGACCGGATCATTACAGATCGAGCAGCTACGTGGAAGCATTTTGCTGGATATTCACACTATATGACACAAGACCAGGGCCTTATTCAGAGAGCAAACTGTGAAGTTGTCAGTACATTCATGGAGTGAAGTGCATGTCTGAAAGGGACTCAACAGTTATGACTCACAGAGTGTGCTTTGCCAGATTCAGTTACAAATAGACCATCCCACACCAATATCACAGTGGGTGAAAATCCAAAACCCATTCAGTTTTGCTCCGAGAATCTGCCATGAAATAAATGATCTTCAGTTCTTTGTTTGGTGAACATCTTTACAATATTTTTAAACTACAAGCAGAAGGTAGAATTGTAACCTGTTTATGTCCCCTACCGTCATCTATGGAGGATTTCTGCCTCCTGCTCTTAAATGTAATACAGGATTACATGTAATTCAAAACTGTAATAAAATGATGGTTCCACACAAGAAAATTGAGCCTCCACATCACAGCGCATTTCTGCCCTGTGGTGGTTTTGTACTTACTCATGAGGGCAGCTCGGTGGTTGCTGGTCCTAGTCTCCATGGGGCCGGAGCTGTCGGAGTTGCGGGTGGCAAGGGGTTTGGCCACGGGGGCAGTGGACTTTCCGCTAGAATCACCTGTCCAACGCAGCATGAACTGCAATGTGGGTCCCTGAGAAAATGTCTCAAACGGTGGCAGTCTCTGCAGGACAGTCATACAGAGTCATGGTCAAGATATGAAAGGGAGCTTAAGAGGAGAAAACCCTGGCTCCCCCAGCTCCTCATGTGTCAAAAAAGGTCTCACACACACACCCCATGCTGACACATCTACAAAACCCCCAACCTTTCCATCAAGAATGGTTTCCCACGTGGCTCGCTTCTTGCTGACAGGGCTGTCCTCCATGCCTTGCATTGACACCTCATACTCCCCATCCAGCAGCTGCAATCTCCTGCAAAGAACAAGTCAACAGCAGTGATTTTAAGGTGTAGTAAAAAGGAACAGCAACATATGATTTCGCAAATGAAATGACAAAATCTTACCTGTTCTTATCAAAGACAGTCATCTGTGCAACATAGGTCTCTGTGGTCTCGCCCTCCTCTCTGTGAGATGAACTTCTCTTCTTTCTACTAGGAGTGTCTATTACATCTATGCAAACAAACATGAAAAATGTTATATCCAACCAGCAACCATTTCAGTTACATCCAACATGGCTTTTTAAGAAGATGCAGCAAGACAAAGACTGACTCATTGCAAACTCCTACCAAAACGCACTGTTTTTGCTGAAGTACAGTTACAATTGAGATGAATTAACGAACACAAAATTGAATGTAGATTTCCTACCAATGTTCTCATTGGCTTCTCCGTTAACAAGACCATTAGTATCCCTCCTCCCTGTGCGTGACACCCTGAACAGGAGCGAATAGGACTTGACCATGTGGCTGTTGCTGGGCTCAAACTCATTGCTGGAGACCAGTAAGGAAGGGTAGGAGCCAGGCTTGGTTTGGTTACTGTCAGGATTCAAAGGCACCTGCTTTTTACCTGTAGGCACTTGCTTAATCGGGCAGCTGACATCCTGAAAGAGAAGTAACCAAACATACATTTTACAACACGAACAAAAGTAAATAACAGCAGCATGAAATTACTCTTTGCTACAGTGAGAGACTGGCTCAACTTTACTTTACCTTGCGTTTTTTATGGCAGACTTTGACAAGTAGCACCTCTAAGGACACGGAATTTTGTTCATTTTCTGAATTCTGAGATGGCTTTTCTGTATGTCAACAAAAAGAGTTTGTCAGTTCTTCTGTCAATTTTCTTGCATGCATAACAAAACTTTCAAGTGAACACACATACATGATTTTCATTGTTATCTCTATGCAATAGTTGTGTGGCCATCTAAAACATCTGCATCCACTCGTTCGGTCACTAGCTTTAGTGTGTGTTTGCACTTTCTTTGGCAAACATCTTGCTTCTGCACAAATCTGTAACATGCTAGCAGTTGTTGACTGTAGTTGGGTGGCGTCATTGCAACAGCACTTACGAGTGCATTTCCTGATCTTATTGAGGATATGAGGTTTACATAACATCTGTGTCTCAGCCACTAAGTTCTCTACCAATAGAAACCTGGATGAAGTGCTTACATGCCACAGCATCTGGTTTCTGAAACCAGGGTACTGTACTACAATGCAAGTTCAACGTAACCAAGATATCTTTTTGTTGTTATCTGTCAGACAATGGTGGTTATCGACTTGGTAAGTCAACAAAGGGTTTTCTAATATAGCCATGAGCGTGTTCACAATAAAAAAGGGGCAGCATTTTTTAGCATATGACCCATCTCAAACATGGACAACTCACAGCAGAGCGGCATATTTTACAAATTCAGAGCAAACTATAATATTAGACAAATAAGTAGTGAAACACATAATCCAGACCACAGGTGGTGCTTTTTATAGCGTTGATCTCTTATCGCAAACATAACCTACTTCAGAGAAGGTTATGTGTACAGCATCAGTTGCCATGGCTACGTACCCTGGTATGGAGTTAACTGTTGTCATAGGACTAAAAACCCAGGGTTGATTAGAAACTTACCTCGCTAACCTGAAATCCTGCTTTGTAGTACAGGGCCCGAGATATGGTGTTTACATACGCAACATACAACCCTGATACTCCAAAAGCAACAACACAAGCACTTTTAAAGATCAAGATCTGCTTACCATCCTTATGGAAGAACCCAGTGAAGGTTAACTGTAGATGTGAAGACAAACTGAAAGACACCGACAGAAAAAAAGTACAGGTGAAACTGGATGCTCCGACTGTTAATATCAATGGTCAGAAGTTGTCTCAATGCAATCTCTCTGGTATTTTAGTGTGTAAAACTATCAATAGCAAGGGGCAATAAAAGAGCACGTTACTCTTGGAGGGCTGCGTTACCTTGGAGAATCCTGCTCTCCCTTCATCTTCTCCACTGTCTGCAACATATCATCCACTTTAAATGCTTTCCTGAGATGATGGGTTCACAAGGGTACAAAATGAATCCATTAATACTGAAGAATATAAATGAGATCGTACAGATATCAGGTGTGAATCATCATTTAAAACTCTGTTGGTGCATCTGCTTATGTACAAAAAGGAACTCTGCTCATATATCATAGCTGAATACATTAGATTCAATACCTTCTGGCATTTGTTCGACCGTTTCTGTGAGACATGAAGGTGAGCGTCCTGTGCAAAAATATGGGCTGAAAAAGGGGGAAAAAAAGAACGAATCAATCACGCATTTTAAGTAGGTTGGCTAGTAAAATAAGTGACTCAAAGAAACAACATGTACAGTCACTTACTGCAATCAAGTTCCTTGTGCGAAGAAATCTGTATATCTGAGTTGGTTCTGGAAATAGAAACAAGTGTTATTGTGATGTTTAATGTGGACATCCCTATCACTATGTTTACTTGGTAACAGTCCAAAGTTCAGCACAGGTATGAGACAGGGCCCTCCATTCGTCTGGTGTCAATTTCACTCTGCGTCTGAGAAATTAATCCACTTTACTGCCAACACATGCTAACAGAAGGGCTGTTAACAGGTGGTGGCTGATTAGACAAAATATCCAACAACCAAAGACAAACTGAGCAGATAAACAATACAGTTTTTTTTATTACAGTATGAAAATTGCTACCTAAAAAAAGGGAGTTATCATCAAATATTTTTAGTCACAACAAACTAAACGTGGGGCTCCCCATAAAACACCAGCCAGACTAGGGAGGCCTGTCAGCCAAAAAACAAGATACTGTTACTTATTTAGTTTTTCAGTAAAGTTAAGCTGGTAGCTACCCGCTTATTAGAATCAATGGGAAAGTTTAAAAGTTGGAAAAGCCGCATTACAAAGTGACGGGTGGTGAAATCTCACTTTCAAAGGCCTGCAGGAACAGCTCATGGTCGGCCTGAATCTGCTCCATCTTCGGCTTCTTCACAGAGTTCATCATTGCTGATGAGGCGGGGTACACAGCGCCGTTAGCTTTGCAACTCGCCCCACTCATAATATGACCTGAGTTCTGCGAGTGAAACCACAACGACACATGAATTATTACAGGAGAACACAGCGGCAGTGCGACATGTGAGCTCAGCCAGCAGTTAGGCAAATACTCGCGTTAGCAATCGAGCTACCTAGCTCGCTCAGCTAAAAGCACAATGCTAACACGTTAGCTACCTTGGTGCTTCAGCGTAGTATTCATCCGATTGTTCAGATTACGACTCACGAAAAACCTTACAACTGGCATACGGTAGACGTAGGGCACAAGTAAAGGCTACCCACCCTGGCCGATGGCATTAATTTGTTAGCCTCGCTGCCTCCAGCTCAAGCCTGGCAGACTCAACAGCAGAAACCCATGAAGATGAAGAGGAGGCGACGAGACGATGGCTAGTTAGCTAGCAGTGCTAGCATGGTTGACTAGAAAACAAACCTCCGTCCGCCTGAGCTTCCACCGCATTCAGATGTCACAAAGGTCGCTTGATTTCGGAGGAAGTTGGAGTGTTTTGGTTCAAATAGTTGATTATGTGTGTGTAAATTTATTGTCGGTGTGGTTTCCTTCAATTTGTACTGAACAACAGAGTGGTAGTCAGTTGTCAGCCAATGGGAGGCGGTCTAAGAGAATCCGGGCCTGTGATTGGCTGCCGAGCTCCGGGGAGGACATACAACCGCTCTGGCTTTCTGCGATTTTGCGGGAAATCTTGGTTATCAGCATGAACATCAGGACGAACCTGCAGCTAAAACGCTCTTATTCACATGAAACATGGCAGTTTGTAGTGCGACTGATCATGCATGCTATACATATATCATGTATGTGACTGTACGCTGTTTGAATGAATTCATTGCATGGGGAAAACAGCGATAAAATGAACTACAAGCTGCAAGAAATCACTCTACTATACACACTCGAGGGCAGAAAGTTAATAAAAACGTATTATTAGGGGGTCGGGAGGGAATATTATCTCACATTACAGCTGAGACTTTATATGCTTCAAGTACTTCAAGTAACGAATGATGAATGAATGTGACCTTATTTTATGGGATGTGAGTTTATATAGGTTAATATCAAGACAAACCCCAAAAGATCACTTTGAAGTAACATTTTAAATAATATAGTCATACTGCATGGTATTTTCAGGCTACATTATATCGTATTTTATACAAACACATTCTTATTGGAGGTGTTTTTTCAGGCTGAAGAGTCACTGAAGTTCATAGTTTACACCGAAACAAAGTTACTTCACACTGAAGAAATAAACACAAGATTCATATTAGGCATATAAACACAACTGGGGCAGCACTTTTGTATTTATTTAAAGGTATTCGTGTAAAGTAATGTGCAGCTACAACATGAGTGGAGACTGTCCGAGCCTCTGGGTAGTGTTTCCTGTCGGAGCTATTAGCAGACGGAACCGGAAACTTGATCGAATCACAACTTCCACACATGTGTGGAGGAGAAAACCAGCCCCATCGCCTACAGTGTGGGTGCTATATACATTTAAAGTGTACACTGATAACTTTAATATCACCGTTTAATAGTCATAGTGACCTGAACCCGGAACGGCTGCGTCGACCAGATGGCGGAGATCGTTCAGCAGCGGATTGAGGACAGAATCCCGGAGCTTGAGCAGCTGGAGAGAGTGGGACTGTTCACCAAGAAAGAAGTCAAGTAAGGCAACATCCAACTCACCCAGGGTTTCCACGTTTCATTCAGTAGTACTCAACACTTATACGAAGAGACACCGCGTGTATTAACATTCTGTAGCAGGGATCGCCACCCAGCTGACATTGTTTTGTTGTTGTTGGCATTATTTGGACAAGAAGTGAGCACCTGTGGACTAATATGGAGAGATGACACAGAGAAACCTGACCTTATTATTCTGTCTTTTACCTCACTACTACAGATTAATTTGTTGGTGAATATAAAGAAAAATAAACCCTAAAGTTAAAGTAACATAGTGTGTGTTTTCATAAAACTGTACATTAAAGGTTTTTTTTAAAGATTTTTTTATTTCTTAATTTTTTTCTTTAAGCTGTAACATAGAGTGACATGACAACATCTGTGCATATAGTAGTTTTTACTTCATTACAAGTTTTTGACAGCTTTAGTGGCTTTACAAATCCAGATTTTTTACACAAAACATGTGAAGAGCTTATAAAATATGTTTTGTTGTAAATTAAACTACCCAACAGCATGTACGAGTTGAGCTGAAACAATTAGTCGATTAATCATTTAATTGATTGACATAAAAACATTTCATAGTTTTAGCTTCACCAATGTGACGATTTGCTTCATTCAATGATTTTAAGAGTTTAAATGTATTTTTTTGTAATTTTGAGGTATGTAGTATTGGTTGGACAAAACAAGCATTGCTAAGATGTCACTTTGAGTTCTGGGTAATTGTGACTGGATTTCTTACTACTTTCTGAATTTTTCCAAAAACCAAACAATCAATCGATTAATGGTGAAAATAATAAGTAGATTAATGAAAGAAAAAAGAATCATATTTGCAGTCCAATATAAAATAGTTCAGAACCAGCTGCAAATTTTATATTAATACATCAGTTATAATAATTTCCATTTCCTGATTATACCTACATACTTTTACTTCAATAACATTTTTAATGCCTTTTAATGACTTTTATTTGTAGCAGAGTCATTTTACAGTTTGGTATTTGTACATTTACTAAAGTAAAGGACCTGAATACTTCTTCCACCACTGCTGAAAAGTGGAACAACCTCTATAGGACACGTATGGTAGATTTTATGATCCAGAATCCTCTTATAAAATTATTATAAACCCATAAGGTCAATAATTCAGACACATGTTTTGATTTTCAGATTTCCATCTTAGGAATACTGTTTTTTAAAATTTTCTTTCAATATTTCAGATCCATAATCAAGAGAGCGACGGCTCTGGAATACAAGCTCCACAGGTTGATCGTGAACAAAGAGGACTTCATTGCATATGTTCAGGTAGAATAATCATGTTAACAGTTCACTCCACTTTTGTTATACATTATGTGAGTTATACATTTAAAATACTAACTTCATATTGTTGTTTAATTATAGTATGAAATCAACATTTTAGAGCTGATCAAGAAGAGAAGAGCGGTAAGTGAAACATCGTCTTGCTTTATCTATTGTTAATATTCACTTTGGATAGGATTCCTTTGATGGTAGACATATTTTTTGATATTCTTATGGTAAACTATACTTCTTAACATAGTGTAAAACAGGTAGAGTGAGTGGCTAACTGCATAAGGCAGCTTGAGTGAGACACTGGCAGCCTTTTAATTGTCACGTTCAGATAATGTCACATCATTTGACTGTATGAAACTTTACTTTCGCAGCACATACATTACCAGTTCAAAAGAGAGGAGATTGAGTACCCCATCATCCATAGAATAAACAGTGTCTTCAGAAGAGCAACAAACAAGTGGAAGGTACTGTATAAAAAGCATTTATACTGTAGTATTGGAGTGTATCAATCAAATCATTGCATTGATTACATATCAGGCCATCTGAGCTGCTCCGAATGATCACGTCTTCTTTTCCCACAGGATGATGTGCAGCTGTGGCTCTCACATGTGGCTTTTTGTAAGAAATGGGTATGTAATGATCTCATCATTGGCTTTTAGTACATATCAGGCCTTCTCGTGGTAATAATAATAATGATATTTTCTGGGTTCATCAGGCTACCAAAGGCCAGATCAGCAAGGTGTTCTCAGCCATGCTTGCTATACACCCCGACAAGCCAGGTACAGAAGATTCTGCTTTACAGTCTGTTGTAACTCCCATTTTTACCTTCTGCTGTGCAGTAATCTCAGTCTTAAGAATTGGCAAAACAAGTACACGCACAGGCAAAATAGGACGATGATGTCACCTAATAATAACAATGAGTAAAGACTTTATACTTCTCCGTCTTTAGCCCTGTGGATCATGGCAGCCAAAAGTGAGCTGGAGGATAGAAGTTCCTCTGAAAGTGCCAGACACTTATTTCTGAGGGCGCTGCGCTTCCATCCAAACAACAAGAAAGTCTACCAGGAGGTAAAAGAAGCAAAATAAATGTCTTTTTTTAACCCACAGTTGGTCAATGTCTTTCATTTTTAATCATGAAACTTTTACTGAGAAACTTTGTTTTTGAAGTTCAGTGAAAACTGCTGCTGTTGACAGATTGATGAAATTGACTGTGTATTTGTCAAATATTTTTTTCTTAATTTCTCCAACAACTCTGCGTTAGTACTTCCGTATGGAGCTGCTGCACTGTGAGAAACTGAGAAAGCAGAAGAAAGAGCTGGAGAAAGCTGAGATGGACCTGGTGAGTGTGTCGCAAATCGAACACAAACGGTGGGAAAGGCAAAAAGTCAATACACACACAGAGAGCCCTCACTTTCTATTCAGTGCCTGAATACCTGCTCTTCACTCCCTCCAGGGTGAATATGAGTTTTCTCCAGAAATCCTGAGTGCTAAACTGGCTGAGGTTGTGTACAGAGATGCTGCAGGGAAAATCAAAGGTAGGATTTTCAAAGTTGATTTCCAATTGAAAAAACACCTAAATAAAAAAGGACCTTTCACATCTAAAATACTTTTACCAACTTGGGTTGGGTATCACCCATGCTACCAACATAAGTATGTCTGATATTTCATAATTTTTAGTAAGAAAAGTCTGTTTTTGCACCTGTCAATGTAAGATGTCACACATAACCCCAGTAAAACCACAAACTATATTTTTTTTGTATGGATTAAGAGAGAGCCTGGCTGTTTCCCCTGTTTCCAGTCTTTGTGTTAAGCTAAGCTAACTGGCTCCTGGCTGTAGCTGATATATTATATATGAGTGGTGTCAATCTTTTCATTAAAAGCAAAAGCGATTGCAAGCATTCCTTCAACAATAGGAATTTACCTTTGTGTTGCTGCTCTTTTTGTCCAACAGAAGCAGAGTTCGTCATCTCACTTCTCAACATAGCAGCTATCTTCGACTTCACCGAAGAACTCCAGGACTTCATCTTGCAAGAGTAAGACACAGAATCCGTCTCACCCACACTGTTCTTGAACCTCAAACCGAAATTCATCACTGAGCACGAACATACTTGCGTCCCTCCCCTCGTTTGCAGCTTACAGGCTAACTACACAGAAGACAGCTTGACGTGGGATTTCATGGCTAAGAGGGAGCTGGAGGCTCCGGGGGCAGGGGAAGAGCTGCAGACAGCCAAAGGCCGGGCGTCGGATATCAACCGCAGAGAGGAGCGCTGCTGCCAGGTCTATGAGGAGGGGGTCAAGAGCCTTAACACTGGTATGAGCTCATGCATACACAGAGAACGAACTGATGTGGTAATTTGGGCTATTTTACAAAAAGGCAAAATCACTTGTTGAGACTCAGAACTTTGATGTTCGAATTGTTATAATTAACATTTTATTACGGGCACTTGTGGATTTTAATAAGTATGAAAATGACCTAAAGTATTAAAACCAGTAAGAAGTCTTTTATTACTGCAGTTAACACATTTCTTTGCACTGTATGTGGTTTAGAAAAAGAAGAAGAGGATTAGTTTCACAATATTAAAAATATTGCAATATTTCTTTAGAAATAGTGGTGCCTATATTACCAAACAAGATTTACTTTATTTTACTTATTAATTCCCTTCTCTATGTTTATTTTGCACATACCGGCAGTGTCATTTCCAATGCTGAATTTGTCCTTTTTTGGAAAAAAATAAAATCTCGATCTAGGCAGCATAAAGAGTTCCAAAACATAAATACACAGTTTGCAAACTGCCCGCCAACTTCATGTGACAGGATAAGAAACCATCGCTGTGCTTGTGTGCTCTGCGCTCTAGAGCCTATGTGGACTTGCTATGTGGCGTTCTGCTGGGAAAGGCTGAAGAGGAAGACCAACGTCCAAGAGCTGAAGGAAAAGGTATGTGAATAATCTGTAAATTAATCTAATTCTCACTATGTCACTATGACCGTGTGTTCGCACCATAAAAAATGAAACACCAAAAAATTGTCAGCAGCTACAGTGTGTTTGGAGGTGATTGGAGATGTTTTAATGGCTAAATCCTGACACAGTTTTATGTGTTTGTGTATGACAGAGACAGGAGAGGCTGCTGGGAGTGCTGCGGCGCGCCCACGACTCCTCGCTGCTGAAGGAGGATTATTACAAGAACTGGGTAAGATAATGCTTCATTAAACGTGTAGCTGAAATCATAGAGGCCTTTATGGTTCAGTCTCCTTTCATTTGAATAATGACTTGTCAAACGTCTGTTCACACAAAACACGTTTATTGGATTAGTTTAGTTTGTTTGGACTGCGTGAGAACAGCGTCAGTCAGAGTGATACCAACAAACGTCTTTGAATGCTTGTCAGTTTTAGTCTTCCTCATAAGGAGTGACAGTCTAATTAGGAGAAAAGAAGTACATAAAATAACAAAGAAGCTATGATTAGAACTACAACAGAGTGTCACTGCACCTTAAGATAGAGTACCAGTAGATCTTAGATCTGGTGTAACCCCACTTTGAGATTAGTCACTTATGAATTCCCACATTATGTATTGTTTGATTG